TAAAAAATATGCAATCTAAGAAATGCTGACTATCTATCAATGCTATGCTATTAAAGTTCTTTAACCGGAAATAAAATGATACCTGTTAATTAAATTAATAAAATTTGTAATCAACTTTAACTGAGATTGATAAGGTGTCTTTAAAAACTTCAATTATTTTTATAAAATTTTGCATCTTGCTTTTTCGTTTGTTTTAGTAGGTATTTGGCTCCATGTATTGTCCAGGCTGTCCACCATTGTTTCAACTTTTGAAACTGCTTACGTAAGTCAAAATAAAAAGCAATAAATTATCGTCCACCTCACTATTAACAATGAATTGCTGTTCCCAGTTCATAATTACCCAATTATTTATATGTAGGTACCTATAAAAATAGCACTTCAAGGTTGCTAACAAAAGTCCTGCACAAAGGACACAGAAAACGCTTTGTAAACTGTAAAGGTCCCAGGTGAAAGGTCACTACAATTATGTCGCATGGTAACGTGGAGAATAAATAACGTAAACCTTAACGAGTCAACACACCCTTCTAGGAAAACTATAGCACGGTTTATTACATGAACGTACCTCACGTAATGAACAAACAAGCAATTTAATTATTCCAAATTATAAATCAAAGCTTACCCAGGACTATTGGTATTAGGGCTTGCAATATCGGATAGTTTTCAACTCCGGAACTGATTTCCGATATTGGGCACTCAACTCCGGAATTCCGGTTCTAGTTCCGGAATTGGTTAAAAAAAGAAAGCGCCTCCTGACAAACATGTACACGTATGTGGCCTCCACTTCAGAACCTTGCCCCATCGGCCGTCTGTTCTACGTACTATGTGCCCTGCCCATTGCCACTTTAGCTTGCTAATCCGATCGCTATATGTCAGGCGACTTTAGTTCGATTACGAATCTCCTCATTTCTGGTTCGATCTCGAAAAGAAATACCGAGCATAGCACTCTCCATACCATGGTGTGCAACTTTGAGCTTATTATAAGGCCTATAGTAAGAGGCCACGTTTCCGAACCGTATGTCATCACTACTGGTAACACACACTGTAGACTTTCGTCTTTAGGCACTGAGGTGTTTTGGTCGAAAAGATGTTATGTAGTTTCCCGAACGCTACCCAGCCGAGTTGAATTCGACGTATTATTACATCTGCTGCAGAGGAATCGCCCTCGTGCTCAGCCAGGCTCAAAGACCTTCTCATAGTCTAAGAACGCCAGGTATATAGGCAAGTTAGCTTCATTTGTAAATTTAAAACCTCGTACATAAATAAACGTCTATAAAGTATGGAGACTACAAGTTTGCTCGTAGACATTAGCGAGAAACTTCCTGCACTTGCTATAAAAAATACATTGTTGTTTTAATATACAAGAAATTGTTTGTCTTCAAAAACCGAACTCCGGCAATTTCAGCTGGAGATTAAAAAAAAATAGGCAAGTTAGACTCTTCGGTCTTCTGTATAACCTGCTGTAGCGTATAGATGCGGTATATGGTAGTGTAAACTTTTCGATAACTGGCTTCCTCGAGAGGCTTAAAGTCATCGAAACCTACGCGCGAGACTATTCGTGATGGCTCTCAAAAACAGCTTGTAAACATGACTCAGAGTCAGAACCCAGATTACCCCATTTCTTGAAGAAAAACACCACCTAGCCTTTGTCCAAGACGGAGTTACAGTCTTTGAAGGACTTTCAGTATCGGCTTATCACCCGCCGCGTTCAGAAGCTCCGAGGTTATTCCGTCATCACCTGGTGCCTTGTTGTTCTATAGCTGTTTGAGAGCCATCCTAATCTCGTAAGGATGTCCGGGATATCTTCGGTATAGTGTCGAGTTAGCTTAGCTCTTGGAACTGTCCTGTGGCTGAGCTATTAACAGGTTTGGTGACCGAGTTATAATATAGCTGTCCATAAAAACTTTTCGATCTCACCAGAACCCTCAGCTTTTGTTGAATTTACACTATCATCCGCTGTCTTCAGTCAGCTGACTTCACCCATTAGTTGTCTCTAGGGAACATTTTGGAGCTTTAGTTCCGCTCTATTGCCTCTTTAATATTATTAGTAATAAAGTTGCGAATAAATATGTTAAGGACTTCCTTATCTAAGGACCTATTTTGATACTTAAACGTTTTGAAAACTTAAAATAATTTATTAAAAATTTCAATATCGGAATACGATATTGGCTTCAGTTCCGGAATTGAAATATCGGAAAAAATCTATCCGAAATTCCGGAGTTACGAAATTCCGGAATTCCGGTATTCAAGCCCTAATTGGTATGTACTCGTAGTCGTAACTATTCTTTATTTACATTTCATGATGAAGCTGCAACAATGTTTTAACTAGTAACAAAATGATTCTAACACCGGCTGATAGAACTTCATTTGTCTTACAACGAGCGTATATACCACTAACTGATTAATAACGAAATCTCAGAAACTATAACACCTAAAAACTTGGAATTTGACAGGTCGGTTCCTTATAGGGTGTAGGTAGACATCATCTTAGAACGGATTTTACGCAACTCCACCCCTAAGGGCGTAAAATGGGGTCCACGTGTACGAAGTCGCGGCCGCTAGTTACTTATATTATATATGAGAGATTTTCCTTTATTAATTCGTCTTCACTGTAAATGTTTAATATAAAATAATTTTCCTGAACACAATATTACGAGCATTTATAAGTTGCATGATTTGGAATCATTTATCAAAGCTTTGACGCCTTAGTAATTATGCCGACCACACCTTACTAGTAGTGAAATGTCTACGGCTTTATAATAATTTTAACACGAAAGGTATTCAAATAATGATGTTTGACATCTATACTTATAATAAATCTGTAGAGAGGTCAATTCTGTACATGAAATATATTTTCAAAATAACTATCAGGGGGTGATTAGTGATCGATGCTGATGCCAAAAATGCAATCAGTAAAATTTTTGTCTGTCTGTCTGTCTGTCTGTCTGTCTATCTATCTGTCTGTATGTTCCTTATAGAAACAAAAACTACTTGACGGATTTTAACGAAACTTGGTACAATTATTCTTCATACTCCTGGGCAGGTTATAGGATACTTAGGAATTCCCACGGGAACGGGCATTAGCGGGAAAATCCTTTTGTATGAAAAATCTAAACCGCTTAAGTTAGACGCTTGAAATTCGGCAAGCAGGTACCTTAGTAAACTTAAAGCTTAGTTATAACAGGATATTGCAAAATTCCCACGGGAACGGGAGTTAGCGGGAAAAAACATTTGTATGAAAAAATCTAAACCGCGTAAGGTAGATGAAGGGGGTAAAACGGGATCCAAGCGTACGAAGTCGCGGGCGGCCGCTAGTTTTATAATAATTTATCTAATTGTCTTGTTTTATGAAAGGTAATTCGGAAAATGCAACAAGTAAATATTTTGGGCAATTGTCAATTTATTACGTGGAAATCGAGTAATGAACAAAATAGTATTTTGTTTGAATTGTAAAGAAGTCAATATAAAGCTTGTAAAAAAAACTGAATATTAAATTTTACCTCAAGACAAGATCACATCGTGTGACATAGACTTACTTATCAAAAGCCGCGTGTAAATAAGGGTACAGACAAACAATTTTATGTAATCAGAAGACTGGTAACGTGAGCTCAGCCTGTTTATTTGATAGACTACATACTATACTACAGCCCCCGACTCTACTCGGGTTTTAGTGGAAATTAAATTCACTACATTTCCTAGAGAGAAATGAGGAGATCCGTAAACGAACTAAAGTCGCTGACATAGCCCGACGGATTAGCATGCTGAAGTGGTAATGAGCAGGGCATATAGTACGCAGAACTGACGGTCGATGAGGCAGCAAGGTTCTGGAATGGAAGCCGCGTACCGGAAAACGCTGCGTAGGACGTCCACCCACAAGGTGGACCGACGACCTGATAAAGGTAGCGAGAAGGCGCTGGATGCAGGCCGCTACGAACCGTGCGATGTGGAAGTCATTGGGGGAGACCTATGTCCAGCAGTGGACGTCCTATGGCTGAAATGATGATGATGATGATGACATTTCCTAGGACAAGGTTCTCTAGTGTATTTTTTTTTTGGACGACAGGGATTTCTCGCGGGATTATTCACTGAGATTCTTATGTAGTTCGTTTCAGCCAAATGGCGTCTACTGCTGGACAAAGGCCTCCCCCAAGGATTTCCATAACGACCGGTTCTACGCTGCCCGCATCCAGGCTCTTCCCGCGACCTTCACCAGATCGTCGGTCCACCTAGTGGGAAGGCTGACCACGCTACGTTATCGTCACTCGGGAACTTTTCTGCCCCAACAGTCAACGTCTCTACGAGCTATTATTCTACAGCTAAAATGTAGTTTGATGTAATAGGTAGAGGGCTTTTGTGATTTGGGGCCATCCATAAAGTACGTCACACGAATTTCATGATTTTTTGACCCCCCCTCCGTCCTTGTCACAGGTAGTCACATTTCTGAGACCCCCCCCTCCCTAGTGTGACGTCGCATGTTTTGCAATTTCACATAGAAAAATTATTAAATTAACAGCAGTTCCGAAATTAGTTTTATTTCTATTTAAATTAAGTATTTTTTTTATATGAAATCAACATTATATCAAATATCTGAAACAATTGAAATGTGATGTCACGAAACTTAGGACCCCTCCCACCCCTTGTCACACCATGTCACACTTTGTCAAACCCCTCCCCCCCTCTTTACGTGTGACGTACTTTATGGATGACCCCTTTGGGACAAAATTCAAATTCGATGATTTGTTGATTGTTCCTTTGTTGATAGAGGGTATTTCTCTTTTCTTTCAAATGCCATACTGGAAAGACACACAAAGTTTTCATACCTACTGAGTTTTGCTTATACAATTAGTAAGGTTTCACAGCCACGGGGACGAGAGGTAACCCAGTTTCATTCATTTGCACACTTCTTGACAAAGACATGTGTGGATTATTTACTTTAATTAATTAACCAAAACTTATTTAAAGGTCACTATTACATTAATGCATGACGTGGAATAATCCTGCATGTGAATTATTAGGTCCAATTGAGTCCTATAATAAAACAAGGCAATAATTTTTTTATCGATCTTTGTTACTACATACATAATAGGAACTGGTAAAGTAGCCTAGCAACGTGATACTACTTACTAGATACCATAATAAAATACTTCCAGTAATGTATTTTTTTAACACTGCGCCATTGCTTTTATTAGGTATGTTTAGGGTAAAAACCAAACGTAGTAGTAGGTATATTGGAACAATTTTAATTAAAAATACTATAACAACTAAGTTACTTGTCACTAGTGATAACTAAACTAATTAGGCAAACGTTTTCTTCCTCGCTTGCAAGGCGGTTTCAAACACTAAATTGTCTATCTGGTTCATGAGGATCAGCCTGTCCTCTTCACCTAAATTAAATAGCTTCTGTGCCAACAAAGCTCCGTATGTTTCGCAAAGTTCTTTACAGTTCTTTTCCTGTTTTTCTAAATTCGTCTGGAATTCGTCGGCATACGACTTGGATTCTTCTTTAACTTTCCTCCTTTTCGCGGGCACTACGTGTTCGGTATCCTTGGAAGTTTGGGTGTCGCTAGTGTCGACATCTTCTATAGAGGCTTCCTGGTAGAACTCCTGAAATGTAAATTTTACGACTCAGAAACTCGACTAAAACTGAACTTTATTTACGGTCTAAGACCCTATCCCTCCCCCATACTTCAGGGCGATAGTCCTGGAGCCCCCCTGCTAAAAAATAACCCTAGATACGCCAAGGGCCCCATGCACAGAATTTGACACGGGCTTCGGATGGTATAGTTACGCCCACAGTTACGCCACTGCCTATTATAAATTATTCTGAAGTCTGAACAAACTGACACAGGAATTAAGATTCATAAAGGCCAAATCTAGCTGACATAATATTTGTAATACGAATTTGTGTCTGCAATTAACTAAAAAAACTGTTTTTAGTATTGTTTCCAACCAAAACCAATTGTTTTTAAAGAAAGTAGGTGAAGTAAATACGGATTACTTACGTCTATGTTAGTCTTGTCGTACTCTAGGTCATACACTCTTCCCAAAAAACTGTTCATACAATCAAATGCAAACCAATTTGTAGTATAAACATTTTCCCCGGTGGGGTCTGTCTTCATTTTCTTAATTTTATTACAATGAAATCTGTAGGATGCCATCAGGCTGTCCTTTTTCTTCTTTAGGTCTTCAATTTTACAATCCCAAGTGAGATTACGCATGATTCTCTCCCACGCTCCGAAACCGTGATGTTTTCTTTTGTGGTTCGGATTTTGTGGGTCCCAAAGCACCGGTTCCAATTCGTAGTTATGCAGAAATTCTAGCACCATAGCATTCGTCCAATCCATGGTACTTATTTTTGTAATTTTACTGTCAAAACATGGTCAAAACTCGTCACAATTATTGACAAAGCTTTAAAAAATAGGACTCACGAAGGCGAGGACGAATGATTGTACGAATGTGTCGCGCGATCGCCCCTCGCGCGGGAACTACATAGCACGGCCGGGCGGGCGCCGGGCATACGCGCGCGGCGAAATCTGATAAAACTCGGGCCGCCATTTTGCCGAGCACGAACGTTCGTGCGCGTGAAGAGTGGCGATGTTGTGCTATTTCTGTCACTCCCACGTATCTGCATCTGCCCGCGTCTGTGCTCGCAAGTTCGCAACTCGTCCGCTCGACAGTTCAACGCGTAGTAGGTAGTAATCGCGTTTTGGGTTATCGCGTACCGTGCCTACCTCATCGTACCTACCTACCTTTTCGTGACGTGTTGTGGGACACGAATGTCATGGTTTTACTTCAATGTTGGACCGTTCGTTGCACGAATCACGAATAGCTCTGGCAACTGGCAAACAACATTTATGAATTTATGAAATGAATGAAGTTACTAGCAAAATGTTTAAGGCTCAGTTGCACCATCTTACTTTAACTTTGACAAACGTTAAAAGTCTGTCAAACTCCATACAAAAAACACCGGTTATCGTCAAAGTTAGGTGGTGCAACTCAGCCTTAATATCGTTCTGTTTTTGTTTAACAATAAGAATCATTTATTTAGGGTAAGTATTACAACTTATTTAGTACTATGTTGTAAGTAAAAAAAAATACTGAATCATAGATAGATCGTAGACCTTATCCACGTAGTTGACCTACTTATTAAAAAAAATCAACCAAATAAAAAAATAAATCATTTTGATGACAATCGACCATCAAAAAAGAGTTAGGTAAGTTAACTTCTTACTATAAATAAAGTCGCGTACAATGACACCGCATCACACATTAATAAATTATAAATAAAACTATACAGAAGCGTCGTATGTCTTTCTGTGCGTCAGACAACGTTTCTCATGCTGTGAAATACGAAGCTGTTGCTACGTGTGGCTACGAAACGGGTGGGCCCATAAGCGGGGCGATTAGCGCAGTAAAGATCCAGTTACGGGCTCACGTTAATGGCAAATGGCAGTATTTGATGTCAATTATGATGAATTGGAGCCCCTAGACGTGTCAGTTAGTTTCAACGTTGTTTAAAGATACGAGTTATTATTAATAATTATAATCTTATTCCCTATGCTTAATGTTTTGCATGACGGTCATTACAAAGAATTAAAAATAGGACATACCTAGTAGAGAATTTGCATAATCCTGGTACATTGTATTTAAAATGATGTATAAATTTATGCAATCCAAATTGCTAATGTTCTTTAAAAAAATATAGTTAGTGAATTTATTAGTTAAACGGAAGTTCTACATTCTACTTGAGCAAATAAGGTACATTACAATCAATCAAACACTTGAACAGTAACAACAATATTATTTACGATGAGCAATAAAAAAGATACCATCACATTGTACGTCACGTCATCAAAGCAATATCATGATTAATTTATTGATGATCTACGTGCTTCATAGATTAGTATTAGATAATAGTTTGTTAGATACTTGACCTTCATTTATTATCAGCCGTCCGTCAAAAGGGTCATTATCATAGAAACACATAATGCTCTCAGAGAATGAGCTGCTTTATTCAAAAGAGTTGATCACAAGAATAATATCAAATGTGATTTATTGAATTTAAATTATGTACATTATTGTACATACCTACCATAATTTATATTCTACAGTCCACACAATAAGAAACAAAGTAAAATTCCTACTTTATAAGTAGATAACATTTATTGATGTTGAACATCATACAAGTCAAGTGCACACACGTGTTAATAATTGAATGCATTCACACCGTCCTCGACCCCTCGTGGTCGTGATATCAGCTCAATAAAAACCGCTTATTTTATGGCCCTACTGAGACAATACAAGTAGCACTCTACGCGTGAGATATTAATGCCAGTAACTAGTTTTTGATTAACATACTCGTACAAGCTAGTTTAGAGCAGAGTTTGCATTAAAAATCTTTTCTATTGATAACGATTTGAGATATTTTAACCCGCTTCATTTCTTATCATTTTATCATCAGGCCATTTAGTCACCACTACAGGAACATGACCTAGGAGGCAAATGGACTGAGTATTTGGCCAGCACATATCTGTGCATAAAAATGAATATGAACACATAAATATGAACTAATATTATTACTAACAACAACGATAAGATGAAATTTTAGACATCCTAATCTCTAATAGCGATCTTGACCAGACAACCTTCAAAATAATATTGATAAACCGTTTGTTGCGATTGTTTGTATTAATTTCTATTTATAGAAATAGTTTCTTTTAGTAATTCATAACAGTACCAATTTATTCGATACATACGAAATGTAGTAGGGCAAAACTATTAAGTCAAACCTTTTTGGCTTCACGAGCTTACCAGCATGAGTGTTAAAAAAGTCAACGATTAACCATTCCCATTAAAATTACAATTACAACTCTTCATATTTTATTAATTTTGAAGAAGAAAGTAAAGAAAGATTTTCTTTATTTAAACTGTTTATAGTTGCACCACCTAACTTTGACCGTAACTTTAACGGTAACCGGTGATTTTTGTATGGAGTTTGACAGATTTTTGACGTTTGTCAAAGTTAAAGTAAGATGGTGCAAGATTCCGTGGAGGGTAGTTGAACGGGAAGCATGGTCGATCTGTTTTAATGGTTTCAATTTATTATTTAATGGACTTTAGTGTACAAATTTGGTGTTATTTTGTGTTCTAAAGTGCAGTGAAGTGATAAATTGTAAAAAACATTGAAATACTTCGAATTTGAGCGCGCATCGAGTGTCGAGTGGGTTGCATGAACAACCCGCTTTGGACCCGGTGTGGCGTCTCGAAACCTGCTTACGGGCATCCACGGAATCTATGAAAAATCAATAGAACTGAAACACCCACGTTCTATTGATAACTATGTCAATATTTTTCACTCGACATTGGCAGAAATAAACCTCCCAGAGAGGTTTGATTGCCACAAATAAAAAAAAAAAAAAGATGGTGCAACACAGCCTTAGGGAAGAAGTAAGTCAACGTCAATGACCTACAGCGGTTTTTGCACCCTGCTTATAGTATAATATTGATTTTCCAAAGCCTAGAACTGCTAGAACGCACAAGTTGGCCAGGTGCACAAGACCGGTCGCTTATAGAGATGCCGAATTATCGATAGTTAACTGATTCAGGAAAGAAAATAGTATCGATACCATCGATGGCGTGATACTACCTCTCATGCCTTGAATAGTACTTGTTACATTTTTTTATTTCTCCAAAGTTAAATGTTAAGTAGTGGGTTCACCACAACAATAGTGTAGCGACAGGGATGAAGCGTTTCTCGAATCTCTAATCGCCAGTCCGATGCTGACACTGTCAGGCAATTATTCTGTCCCCGATAGGTAAAAGGGCGCATGTAACAACAAATCAAGGCGACATAACTATCGGATCGTATTGTCGCCTTGACTTTCGTAACTTGAAAGTTATCAACAGTATTTAGCCTAGGCGCAGACCATCGACTTTTAGTTCGCCGATAGTTGGGCCCGATTTTAATTTGCATGAAGAATCGGCCAAATCAAATCGGTGTAATGTGCGCACTTCCATACATGCCCATACTGATCAACCGCCCGACTAAACTATCGGCCGACGACGAAAAATCGATGGTCTGCGCATAGGCTTAGTCTAGTATCGATAGATAGTAAGCTATCGAGCAGCATCTCTAGTATAGTAGCGTAGAAGTTCAGTTAACTTGCCCACGATAACTCTTGGACAGCTTGTAATTACCGTGACCAGTGACCCCAGCTCCTTGGGCGGTGACGCATAGAAATAATAAATAAGATAAATGAAACAAAGGGCCTACTCAAAGACATAAACTTTAAATATCAATCCACAGTAACAAGACAATCTCTGTATGCTTTTTAGCATATTTTTTTTCTGTAGGTCTAGTCTAGTTTAGTGGCACTTTATATTATAATTGAATCCGTTCACGGAGCGATGTAACTCCATATTACAATAAAACGCTGAAGCTAACGCCCGTATTCACAAACGATGCTTGCCTAAGTGTAAGTGAAGCAGCAAACGCACAGCGTTGAATAGAGATCTGTGATTGGTTCGTGTGTCACCCTGTGCGTCCACGCGCACTTTCGACATTACAACTGTCACGATTTGCCACTTATGGGGGCGAGTTACTAAATGGCACTTTTAAACTTTTAAAAATTATTATAGAAAGAAACAGGCACAGGCAAAAACTATTCGGCCAATGATCTTTCGTTTACCTACATGCGGAGCGTGGACCAAACTCCTTACAGCATCAGACCAGAGGAATATTTACTTCATAATAAATAGGGTGCTTTGTTTGCCTAGACCCGTAGTTTAATAACAGCAAGATGAGCGATGACGGCTATCTATCATGATATTAACACAAAATGTCTCCGAATTGACGCCGTTAAAGTTATAATGTCAGCCCCACCTGAGCGATATGATTAAAACGATACTTAATAATCGTTAGTGCCAGGCTGTTGCTACCTTTGACAGTCATAAAACTATTTTTGAAAAATATCTTGCCGGCTAGTCGATTTGCACGAAAATCGTCCGCACAAATGTGCGAAACGTCCCATGTGCGAAAAATAATATTGTTTTAGTAGGCGTTTCGCCCGGATGTATTAAAATCGCGTGCGAATCAACTTTTTCGAGAATTAGTAGCATGAGATTACTAGTTCTCGAAGGAGACGATTCGCACGCGATTCTAAAATACTTTTAATACAATATTATTATTGACATTGACACATTCGTGCGAATCGACCACTAACCCATTTTGCCTACCTGCCTTACCCTACCCTTGCCTACTACCTAAATATCTGACTACCCCAGATGCACTCCAGAAACTGCATTTGGGTCAATCAGGTATGCGCCAATCATTACAAAAAACCCAAGCTGTTAAAAGTTCCTACATCAGCCTAACTCTACGTACTTATTCTTCCAATGGTTTCCGATTTAAATATAGTTTGTTCTCCTCAACTGACCGGCAAAGTCAATAGCACAACATAAACTAGAGTTTAAATAAACAGCGTCGGATGTAGACTTACCACAAGA